TTCCTGATGTTAGTGCATTGATGAGCATTAACTTCACATCCAGCATTCGAAGAACAGTAAGCATTTTCAATCAAAGCGCTGCGTGTGTACTTTTTGTACGAGTGGTTCTGCGAACAGCTGAGCACCGTTTTGTTGTTGTGGTTCTTCTTTTAATATTTTGAAACCAGCAGAGATGATTTCTTTGCAAACAGCATGCGTGCTTGGCAGTCAATCCCGATCGGCACGACGATTAATTGCCGCAGTTACTTGCAGCAGTTTCCGAGTTCCCCGAGGCTCTTTCCAGCCACCATGCACTTTGCGCAGAAGTAAGGGAACTGCACACCCTTCAGCAATTTGTCACTTAGCGGCTGAAGATAAACGAATGAAACGTGCATCAGTTTCGAAGACGATTTAGGCAAGAAAAAGTTGAAGAACGCACTGTGCAAGAGTCGATGCAGGCAGAGCATGGCAGAATTATGACGTACCACCAGGCACAAAACCCTGCCAAGTAGAAGCTGAAGAAGAAGAGGATGAGGAGCCACAGCAATCCATTGAAGCAGTTGACTACTCCAGCACCTGAACCCATTTTGTTCACTGGATTGTATCAAAGTCGGTTTAAAGGATTGCTTCACTGATCGATGCCCTGGAAAATAGACGCAGGAAATATGTATATTTTTAATTACAGAAGTTCTTGAATAGGGGATGGAACAGAATATTTAAGGGTTTTGAGGTACCAATATATATTAAACTAAATGCCTATTATATAATTGAGGACAGTCTTTTGTACTGGGCAGGGAAGAATGTTGTTCAAAAGGGGGTTCTGCAAACAAATGTTTAGTCAAATATCAGATTATAAAAGCAAAATAGCTGAATTAGAACTGGAGGCATAAAAAATGCAATTACTTTTTAAGTATAACTGTATATTTATAAAAATTATGGTTGATTTTAACAGAATCCAGCCCTCATTAAACACTGAGAGGAAAGTGAAGGTTTTTGAATACTGTATTTACTTGAGTACCACGCGCACCTTTTTTCCCAAATTTCAGAAGAAAAAAGGGGTGTGCATCATAAGCAGGTATGAATTTTTCAAGAAGTTTTAGGAAGTTATGTGTGCATTATACTTGATTATAATGGAGAAATTTGGAGAAAATGTAACAAGAAAACTTTTTTATACTGAAAAAGTTGAAAATTAATGAGATTTTTGTTCAATTCATGCCTAAAGTCAATTTTTTGGTTTTTATTTGAAAATTTTTGTGGTTTCAGATCCACTAAAAATTGGGGTGCTTGTCTTACTCAGGGATAAGATTTTAGCAAAATTTCCCACTAAAAAACCCCTCTGCGTGCCTTACTTGAGGGTGCATGGTACTTGAGTAAATATGGTAAATTGGACTGGAAACTATTGGAACATATATAGCAATATGAATTTATACACATACAGCCCTATATCTTCAAATACAGTGGGGCCCAACATATGTAAAAACTGACGTATAAGAAATTTCAACTTATG